TATATATATATTTTTTTTTAAATCATCTTGCAGAAGTTCTCAAGCACATTTGAGTATATTCTGCCTGGTCGTATTTTACCGTGTGCCATATGTTCTGAACATATTTTCTTTACGTGCTCCTCCTGCTAACTCACCAATCCCCTGCAGTGAGTCCGGCTATATTTGTCCTAARATCGCCCACTGTCTCCCAACGTTTAGAAAGTTTCCAAGCAGGAGGCTGCTTAGTTCTCCTCAACCGGATGCAACGGTTCTGGAACAACACAAGGAAATAAACAAAATGCAGGCAAACAATAATTGTGGTTCGGGTGCAAMCATCTCAGACCTGTTATTCCTCAAAGGCTGCAACAAAATGACGTCGCTCTGATCATTTTTATTTCCTCTTACCGTGCTGGCAGAACCCAGTCTGGGAACGGTGATGGGAAGAGTTTAACTGGTGTGGTACACCTCAGTAACRCAGGTGTCGTGAGGGAGGAAACCTCCTGGGATCCTGAAGGGAAGCTCTGCATCCCAACTGCGTCATTTTCAGAGGGTTTTTTTTCCACGAACACTTTGATGTGCGTTTTGTTTTGCAAGCACAAATGCAGACAGTGTCAAGTTATAAATATACACAGGTTTTTTTTTTTTATACAGCAACTAAAATAAAAACAGGTGGCAAATTACAAAAAAKAAACATAACCCCAGCACTGTAGAAATACAGGAAGTAAACTGAGAAATGGGTTTTCTTTGTTCTCATTTCATGCAACACAGATGCACCTGTGAATATTTCCAGATTTTTTTAGAAACTCCCTTCAAATGTGGCTCACACTTTGGCCCAGCATAGCAAGATGCTGACTTTAAACCAGTGGTTTCTAACTGGTCTAGCTTTTGAATCCACCAACTTATTATGTCAGGATCATTTATCTAAACATATTTTTTGATAGCATTTAGCGATGACTGAAAAACTTCACAAATAAATATTTAAAGCTTAAAACCAACTTATCAGAAGCTCTAAATAATATTTTTTCAAGTTTTTGAACTTTGAAAATTGAGAATACCGTTTCAGTGCCTCTAAGCCATTACTCATTATTTTCCCCATGAGCCAAATACAAATAAACATTAATTTCATCATAAAGTTTACGGACTCAAAGTCCGTGCAGGGATGACAGCTGAAATTTCTATTCTTCTCTAAATCTGCCCTGTCTCACCTTTTCAGATCATGCTGATGAGCACGCCCATCCTCAGGGAGGAGAACGCCCTGAACTCCAGCAACGTCGCCATGTTCCAGGGCCACCCGTGTTCTCGTGAGCCCTGCCTGAACGGCGGCCGCTGCAACCCTCAGCTGGAACGCTACGAGTGYTCCTGCCCGCCCGGTTTCTCGGGGGACAACTGTCAGAACAGTGAGTGTTGTTGCCTTTCCAGCTGCAGCTTTGTTACATTTCTTTTGACGATAAAACAGCTTTTGGGTGGGGGGGGG